CCCGTCTGCGCGTTCGTGGAGGCCGGCCAGCATGCGGAGGTGAGCCCCCCCCCCACCCAGCACCGCCGCAGGCCCCCGCTGCCACCCCCTGCTCCCCACTGCCTCCCATCCTTATCCTCCTCCAGGAGCCCTTCTTCAAGCTGGACCCCCGGCACACCGAGGATGGCAAAGGGAAGAGCCCCTACGACCCCCGGCACACAGCAGCCTCCGTCCTTGTGGGTAAGGGAGAGCTGAGCCCGGCACTGGGGGGCAGCCATGGTGGAGGGGGGTGGTGGGTTGGTGGTGGTGGTGGTGGTGTCCCCCGTAACACTTCCCTCGGTGCCTGCCAGGTGAGGAGCTCTACTCTGGGGTGGCCACTGATCTGATGGGAAGGGACTTCACCATCTTCCGCAGCCTGGGCCGACGTCCCTCCGTCCGCACCGAGCAGCACGACTCCCGCTGGCTCAACGGTCAGTGCCAGCGTGGCACCGCTGCTCCCTGGAGGCACCGGGGCAACGAGTCCTCCGGGCTCGGCCGTACCCCGTCCTCCACTGCCTGCAGGGGGTGATTTGGGGGGGCGGGTCTCTGTGCCCCCCGCAGGCTCCCGGTGCCCAATGGGGTCCCACCCTCACCCTGCCTGTGCCCCGCAGCTGGGCAGGGGGTGGTCTGCACCCTCCTGGGACCCCAGCAGCTGCCCCAGGGTCCCCGGGGAGCAGAGCTAGCGGGAGCACTGGAGGCGACACCCCTCTCCCCCCAGAGCCCAAGTTCGTGGCTGTTTTTTGGGTGCCGGAGAGCGAGGACCCCGACGATGACAAGATCTACTTCTTCTTCCGCGAGACGGCGGTGGAGCGGCAGCAGGGGCTGGGCAAGACCAGCTTTGCCCGCATCGGCCAGATCTGCCGGGTGAGAACATCCGTGGGCAGGTGGGCTGGGGGCCGGGGGTGCCCGGGGGTGCCACCCATCGCTGCTGACGTCGGTACCTTCCCCCTCCCGGCAGAACGATGTGGGCGGGCAGCGCAGCCTGGTGAACAAGTGGACGACCTTCCTGAAGGCTCGGCTCGTCTGCGCCGTGCCGGGACCTGACGGGGCTGACACCCACTTTGATGAGCTCCGTGAGTGCCGGGGGGCATGTCGGGGGCAGCCCCCCGAGGTGGCCCTGAGCATCCCTGGCATGTCAGGATGGCACTGACGCCCTTCCCTGCTTGCAGGGGATGTTTTCCTGCTGCAGACAAGGGACAAGCGCAACCCCCTGGTCTACGCCGTCTTCTCCACCTCCAGGTCAAGACCCCTCCCTGTTACCCCCTCCCCGTGCCTGGTGGTGCCCCCCGTGCCCCTCACATTGTGCCCTCTCTCTCTCCCACCAGTTCTGTTTTCCAGGGCTCGGCCATCTGCGTCTACACCATGGCCGACATCCGCCGGGCTTTCCTGGGCCCCTTCGCCCACAAGGAAGGTCCCAACTACCAGTGGGTGTCGTACCAGGGACGTGTGCCGTACCCCCGTCCAGGCATGGTACGTGGTGTGGGGGTGTCCCTCCTGGTGCCACCGGTGGGGTGCCGGTACCCGGGGTATGTGGGGAGCGAGACCTGTCCCCCCCGGCTCAGTCAGCACCTTCTCCCCGCAGTGCCCCAGCAAAACCTTCGGCACCTTTGGCTCCACCAAGGACTTCCCGGACGAGGTGATACAGTTTGCCCGGCACCACCCGCTGATGTACAACCCGGTGCTGCCCCATGGCCAGCGCCCCCTCTTCCTGCAAGCCACCGTGCCCTACACCTTCACCCGCATCGCCGTGGACCGTGTCACCGCCGCTGACGGCCACTACGATGTCCTCTTCATCGGCACAGGTACGCGGTGACGCCGGGGCTGGGGCAGGGGGTGAGAGCTGGGCGATGCCAGGGCTGGGACCCCCGGCCTCACCCCTCCCTGCCCTTAGATGTGGGCACGGTGCTGAAGGTGGTCTCAGTGCCCAAGGAGAGCTGGCACCGCATGGAGCCGCTGCTGCTGGAGGAGCTGCAGGTCTTCCAGGTGAGGAGGGAGCTCCGCAGCCCCCAACTCGGATTTTCCACCCCCCCTTCCCCGGCTGCCCGTGCTGCGGGTGGTGCCGGGGCACTCCAGCTGCCAGGACATGGGAGCTGGCAGCCGGGACACCGGGGTCCCCCCCACACGCCCTGACTCCTGCCCACGCTGTACCCGCAGGACGCCTCCCCCATCACCAGCCTGCAGCTCTCCTCCAAACGGGTAAGGGGGGGACCCCAGGTGGGTCCCCATGTCCCACTGCGGCTCTGCCTGGTGCTGTGCCATAGTGCGGGGGTGCTCAGCCCCCCTTCCCCCCCCCCCCCCCACCTTCTTTCCCCAGCAACAGCTCTATGCTGGCTCGGCCACAGCGCTGGCCCAGCTGCCCCTGCACCGCTGCGGTGCCTACGGCAAAGCCTGCGCCGAGTGCTGCCTGGCCCGGGACCCGTACTGCGCCTGGGATGGCACCGCCTGCACCCGCTACGTGCCCAACACCAAGAGGTAGGTGAGGTGCCAAGGCGGGGGTGCTGGGGTGGCCAGCCTGCCCCGAGGCCAGGGTGAGGGGCACGGGCCCTGGCTGCCGAAGCCCCCCCTACTCCTCCTCCACCTTCCCGCAGGCGGTTCCGCCGGCAGGACGTCCGCAACGGTGACCCCAACGTGCTCTGCTCCGAAGGTGAGCTGGGACACGGCTGGGATTTGGGGGTCAGCCCTGCCGAGGCAGAGGGGTGACGGCCAGGCCATTGGTGGCCAAGAAAGCCAATGGCGTCCTGGCTTGTATTAGGAATAGCTTGGCCAGCAGAAGCAGGGAGGTGATTGTCCCCCTGTACTCAGCACTGGTGGGGCCACACCTGGAGTGTTGTGTCCAGTTTTGGGCACCTCAACACAAGAGAGATCTCGAGGTGCTGGAGCGGGTGCAGAGGAGGGCAATGAAGCTGGTGAGGGGGCTGGAAAACAAATCGTACGTTGAAGGAGCTGGGACTGTTTAGTTTGAGGGAGAGGAGACTGAGGTGGGACCTCTGCACTCTCTACAACTACTTGAAAGGACACTGTAGAGAGGTTGGTGCTGGTCTCTTCTCCCAGGTGATTAGTGATAGAACAAGAGGGAATGGATTCAAGCTGCAACAGGGTAGGTTTAGACTGGACATTAGGAAACAATTCTTCACAGGATGAGTTTTCTGAGACTGGTATAGACTGCCCAGGGAGGTGGTTGAGTCTCCATCCTTGGATGTGTTTGAGAGTCATTTAAATGTGGTGTTGGGGGATATGGAGCAGGGGAGAACTTTGTAGAGTAGGGTAAACGGTTGATCCCAAGGGTCTTTTCCAACCTTGATGATTTTATGTCCCCCCACCCCAGATCCCCAGCGGGGCAGCGTGCCCCAGAAGCAGCTCTACGGTGTGGAGGGCAGCACCGCCTTCCTGGAGTGCATCCCCAAATCCCTGCAAGCCCGGGTCCTCTGGACCTACCAGCGCACCCCAGATGACCCACAGCGAGAGGTAGGCTTTCCCTGGCCGGGTGCCGCCGGCGGGACCCCGTGCCCTGCTGAGCTGACCACCCGTCCCCGCTGGGTGCCGCAGGTGCAGGTGGACGCGCGGGTGGTGCAGACGGAGCGGGGGGTCCTGCTGCGCAGCGTGCAGCGCGCCGACGCCGGCCTCTACCTCTGCCACGCCACCGAGCACGGCTTCACCCAGCCCCTGCTACGGCTCTCCCTGGAGGTGATCAGTGCCCAGCAGGCAGCGGGCACGGCCCCCGCTGGAGACCCCCAGCTCGCCGCCGGTCCCCCCGGCCGCAAGGTCTGGTACCGGGACTTCCTCCAGCTGGTGGAGCGCCCGCCGCTGGGGCGCACAGACAGGGTGTGCCAGTGGCCCTGGAGCTGGGGGAGACCCCTGCCCCCCCCTCGTGCCCACGCCGGACCCCCCAGCCGCGGGCAGGGCGAGGAGCCGCGCAAAGCCCGCCGCCGGCGCACCCACGAGGGGCCACGGGCCGAGCGGGGCCCCCGCAGCGCATCCCCCTGGTGACCCCGGGACGGGCCCCGGGCACCGGGCTCTGCCTA